TTTGTAACTTGCACAATTGGCCCATATGAACTAGTCATGTAAAACGTCATGAAACTTTATCATTATGTGGTTTACATTTGAGGCACGTAGATCCAGAAATTAATATATGGGAAAATTAAAAATCATCCATCTAATCAAGTTTGTGCATTATTGTTTGTTGTACATATAAAAAATTGACAAAAATTATTACTGGATGTATTAATATTAGAAGTAAAAAGTTGCATATCATTTATTAATAATAAACATTTTCATTTTGAATTAACAAAAATCCTAAACGTTAAACAAATAGAAAAATGGACCACCAGGTACATGGTAAAATTTTTTAAGCTTTGAAATTTTCTATTCAAAGATGATAAAGATAATGTGAAAAGAAAAAAAAAACACTTGAAAATTAAATAGGTAAGCTCATAGATTAATTATATAATATTAAATTGGGATTGGGTTAGAAACAAATTAAGTTAGCACCACGTTTTTATGTTAAATCGAGGACGATTGATTGAGTGGGGGATTAGGTTTAAGTAATTAATTATACAATAATAGGATATGTGTGCGTGTGTGATATAATTATTATCTGGTGTATATAAATAATTTGACAAATTGAAAGGATTATTTTAATATGATTTGATAACAATGGCTATATTATTTATACATATTTATACATTTATGTTTATGTGTGTATTGTGTGAGAGTGCATACAATCAAACAAACATCAGCTATTATTGAATTCATTAATAACTTGAATGACAACAATATGTCACAGGCAAATAAAGATCACATTAGCAATAAATTAAAAAAATGCATTTTCGCGTGACACTTTTAAAGAATTTTTTTAATAATAAATTTTAAAAAAACAAATTAAAATTAAATGGTTAATTATTAGCATTACTGTAAGTATGTACTATTATTATTATTATAACAACAGTGAATTTATTTATCGTGACATTATTTATTTTACAATGCAAATTTTTACCAAAGTGATCAAAAATCTTCCACTCAAAGAAATGATAAATTTTCTTATTAAAAAATCAAAGAATTTTAAATTTTTATATGCAATGAATGTTCTTCGGCTGTTGCGATTCCTCATCACAACTAACCTCTTCTTCAAATGTAAGAAGACTTAAGCCATTTTGGTATGCATTCACTCAAGAACTCACAAACTGGTGTTGATTACCTTTGAAATACTAGCACCCAAGTCAATTAGTGACTATTTAAAATGATAGTTCTTGGATTATGATTCAACTAAACCAACACCTTATGATTTAAATCATATTCACATCTTATCAGATGGCATATGGAAATGCTTTAAAGAAGATGCAATTTCTTCTTTGCTTCTTCCTTTTCTAAAGTTCTTAAAATCAGACTTTAGAGAGAAAACAAATCATATTAAAATGAATTGGTGTTTCTTGCTGGACACATACAACAAATTTTAGCAGCAATTAATATTGATATAAAAAAAAATTTGCATGATAATTGCATCAATAAAGAAAATTTAAAGACACTGATATTAAATTGGTTTGATACCTGCAGTATTAGAGATGTGGAAATGACTGGCCTGTTAAATAATTATAATTCAAGTATTGCAGCAAAAAAGAAAAGTATTAATTAAAATTTAGATCTAAAAATGTCAAATTATTATTGTCATTAGATCCACAGAAAGTAGTCATTAAATGAAAACATCATCTTGGTAAATTCTACATATCCCTAATCCATTTGAAATCGAGGCTGATAAGAGGATAGAAGTACTGCCATCATTTCTTTTGATCTAAGAGAGAAAACCTTCATAACTGGTTATAAGTAAAACAGAAGATAAGTCACCTACGTTTGTATCTTGAAGTTTAAAATACAATATATGATCAAAAATGATGATGGTTTAGAAAAATCCAATCTGAAACTGTTGATCTTGTCTCATTTCCATTTTTGCTCCATAAATCCTGTGAACATCCTCAGTGCAAGGTGGTCATCTGCACTAGTAAAACATGTAGATATTGTGAACATATCAAACAAAATCTTGATCCCTCAAAGACCTTTAGATGTACATATCACAAGTCAACCATTGATGATGGAGCCTGTAATATATTTATAAAATATATTATGAAATCACAATAAGAGTCACTCACAATGTCAGGGATTACAACAGAGACACCTTATTGTAAATTGTCTGCATGGGCTTATAGGTTCAATGTAAGAGTTTAGTAGAACTTTTTTTAAATTAAAGGAATTAATTAATTTTGTGATACAAATTTATTCTATGAAAAATTAAAAAATATATCTACACATAACAAAGTTTGTGTGTAATGGAACAAAGTGATTGTAGGACTCCGCAAACTTCATATGTAGATAGGTTACTGGTCAAATTCATATATAAATTAATTTTTTGTCAGTAATTGCCAATTATTATGAACCTTACATCATTAATAGGGTCAATTAATTTAGTGTTGGGGACATTGGGAAGGCCGTAACAATTTTTTTGATTGTTTTTATTTGCCTGCTTTCTTTATTTAAAAACAATGATCACAAAAATAAAAAATAAAACATTTATCGAAGGATATCTAAAAAAACATATACTCCTCAAAAAACAAAACCAATTCTTTATATATAGTAAATAATCAGTTGAGCTTTTCAATAGAACTATAATCTATTTTCAGATTTTGAAAAAAGATCTGCATCCTCAATTATGTGAGCAGTATTAAACCGTCATTCAATTCAGCTTTAAAAAAAAAAGTTTCTCAATTTTTTTTTGTGAGAGTTATGCAATAATAATTTTCGTGTTACAATATTTTGAATTACATTATTAATAATATACGTTGTAAAAAATATTCTATAAAAAAAGTCTTGTCACACGAATTTTAAATGTATAACAAAATTTGGAATTGTCAAAAATATCAAGGCTCTGCCAACTTTTTAATTTAAGAAATAATTAGCCAACAAGTGTTGAAGCTTGAGTCGTGAGTAATAAAAATTATCGGTTAACTTTTTTAAAATCATATAAAAATTTTTTGTTTTAGTATTTTTAGTATTTTGAGCCAATTAGTTGATTATAGATGATCTGCACCGTAAATCAATAAAATTTAATTTTTTGTTAACTTTGGTCTGGGCCAAATCATTCATATATGTGGGGGTCCTATAACAATTTCCAAATTTCAAATTTAGTTAAAAGATTTTCATATACCACATGGATTTTATAACAAATTACAATAATTTTTTCAATTTTATTTATTGTTTTAATTTATCTTATTATAAAAACTGCAAGTTCATTGATCAAAAAAAAAAAAAACTTTTAAAATAACTGGTTTTTATAATTTTACTTTATCACTTAATAAATGACGAATATAATGAATAATATTTTTTCCACATTGGGATTTATAATATGATGAATGATATCGTAATATAACAAGTTATTTAAAGTTCACCAAATAAAATATGATACTCATTTATTTTGATCTTCAGACAATTAAATGAACTCATTCATATATTAAAGAAGAAAAATATAAATGTTTCAATTGAAATATTTGTTTACCTAAATCATACTCATTATGAAAAAAAAACCTCCGAGTTTGTATCGTTTATTATAGTTATGTTTTATATCCGTTGATATTGGCCCCTGAAAAATTGAAGGTTTCAAAATGCCACAACTATAAATACTCACGATAAATTAATCCATACAATTATCGTTATTTATAATTTGTTCTTTACTTTTAAAAACCTAGACGAATCTCTTCTTTATCAAATAGTGTAAGTTGATTTTTATTTTTTATTTGCAGTTTACACGTTAATTTTGTTCTTCCTTCTTATTTTTCTTGGGAATCAGTCATGAGTTAAATTATTTTTGTTTTTTATTACTCTCAAGTCACAAAATATAAATTTACCAAAAATAAAACAATAATAATCTAGGTGATTTATTTATTAATGACACCAAAAATACATACTAACGGTAATTGTTGTCCTTGTGGCGATATCAACAACACGATTGATAATAATGTTAAACTTTCTTCAATAATAACCACTACTTCATCACCATCACCGTCACCATCACCATCATCATCATCACCATCATCATCACCATCATCATCATCATCATCATCATCGTCGTCGTCGTCGCCTTTACCTTCATCCCCTGTATTAAACAATTACCTCGCCAAAACACAACCCACAAACACACAGGTTGCAAACAACAACAACAATCATCATTTTCACTTCAATAGCAATTTAGACAATTTCATTAATACCAACTTTGTGACATCCTCAAAGTCTATTGCCGATATTGATATCAGTAATACTGACATCAGAATTTTTTGTAACGAAGATATTCGTCTAGCTAATATAATTGTCTTTTGGCTACGAAGGCAGGGGGCTAATAATATTCGCTTATGCTATCCAATTAATAACCCTCATGTGAGTTGATTTATTTTTTTATTAAATAATTAGGGAGTTTTCCGGGAAAATCTTTGAATTCTTTGTTATTGCTACTTTTTATTATTCCTTTTACTTTAGATTTAAATAAAAAAATCTACATTAATTATCATAATGATAGTATTTGTTACACGATGAATTTATTTGATTAAGAAACCAAAAAATCATCTTTTGTTTTACTGATTTAAAAAACCATTCCTGCAGTTTTTCAATTGATTTGTTCTAGATTCTTACAAAGTACATTAACAAATTTTATATACATAAATACAAAACATTAATTTAAAAAAATAATTTAAAAAAATAATCTAATAATAATAACAAAGACTTTTTTTCATTTTTCAAATGCATTTGAAGATTTTCCTGGCTATTTTAAATGAAAATTTAAAATTTATCATTCCATTATATATAATTATTTAAAAAATTTCTTTTTATTTTGTAAAAAAAAAAACAAGTATGCAAACTCAACGTTAATAGATGATGCGATCAAACTGCCGGTTTATTGGGATAGGCATCAAATAGAACTAGGAATTTCAAGTTAGTAGATCATTACTAAATGTATTATGCATTTTTATGTTTTTTTAATAATAATAATGGTTATTATTATAGATGCAGTTATAATTATAAGTATGTTTTATAATGATTTTGCAAATCAAGAGACATTATTGAATGCTTGTATTTGCAAAGGTGTTGCATTGTTTATAACGTGGGATTCTGGAATGGAACTGTAAATTATTTTAATTTTCAAAAAAAAATTTTTTTCGAACCTTTTCTTGATTATTTTTTAATATTCGCACATGTTATTTTTAGGGAAACATATGTAAAAGATAAACAATGCCCTAGAACAAGATTACATAAAAAATTGTTGGAATATAAAAATCTTACTGCAAATCAACCTGATCATATGTATTGGATTCTGTTTCAGGTTGGAATTTTTGACGAGGAAATATTAAGACATGACGTTTCAACAATCACTACAGCTTTCAATAATCCAAAGCAAAGCATATTCTTAAATATAACTGTAAAAGATGAACTGGCTCAATTAGTTGTCGAAGCAATTATTTCAAAAAAATTGCTAGCTGACAGAAATTATGTAATCGGTGACTTCGTTTCACATACCTATTTAGGTCATGTGTATCAAGTAGTCAATCACGGCGCATTATTTGATGAAAATATGCCTGCAGAAATTGGTGAATTCGAAACATCAAATAAATTACGATTATCTGGAATTGTTTCCGCCAGGCCACTTCCAAGAATATTATATCCGGGTTGTAGTATTTTCTTCCACAATCTCGGAATTGAAATATCGTTCCAACATGAAGCAATAATCTACAAATTGCTAAATCATCATAAACGGATACCTTTAAAAGATTGGGTACGCGATTATATCCGTCAGAAACAAGAAAATTTATAATTAATCTTTCCTTCCCCAAATAAATATATGTCCTTTTAAGATTATTTATATATTTATATTAATGTTATTTTATATATCATATATGTATACGGAAAATCAATAAGATATTTTTAAGAATTTAAGGTTGTGGCACCGCTATATTTAAGTTATTATATGTAACACGCTAATAAAATTTTATATGTAAAATCCAATTAGTAAATAAGACTTTCAATTTAATTTCTTATTTGATAAACTTGCTCGCACACCAGTTTTCTCCATTTATCTTTACGTAAATAAATAGACAAGAGTAAATAATCTTTAATTTATATAATAAACAAAAACAAACGAAAAGAGGGGGAACTATAAATACATAAACGCATGCATACATGTAAACAAATACAATTATTATCAAGTATTATTGATTAGAGAAGTGGAAAATTGAATTGCAAGGGTGATCTTATATATAGGACGGTTCTGTGGCTAAATATACAGGACCTTCTTAATTTGGAAGTGGCACGTATGATCCGCATGATTTTAGCAAGACCATAGGTGCCACTTCCAAATTAGGGAGGTCCTGTATATAGGATTTTCCATACATGATGGCGAAATAGTTTTGTTTCGACAATAATTTCGACGATTAGGGTTCAAACATTTCAAAAAAATCAAAAATCAAAATCAAAATTCGAAATCAAAATTTGTAATCAAAATTCGAAATTCGAAATTAATAAACTTTTTTTGCATTTTTGCATTCATGTCTTTAAATAATAATAATAATAATCCTAGAATCCGAAATCTTTATTTACCAGATTCCAAAAAGAGTGGAAGATCACCAAATAGTATATGGCATTATTTTGATAAAGGAAATGAAAGATTTCCTGGAAAATATGATGCAAGTTGTAAATATTGTAATGACAGAAGTTCATGTGGAAGTCCTCAATTAATGGAAGAACATTTAGCTAATAATTGTGCAAATGTGCCTGTTGAAGTCAAAAAAATTTATCTGGAAATTGTATTGAATAGACATCATCTAGAACAGGGTTCATCAAATGATTCTAATTCTGTAAATTCGTTTAATTCATCCAATACAAATAGAAAAAGACAAAAAAAACAAGCTGGTCTTAATCAACGACAAGATATGAGTGCTTACTTTGATTCTGCTACCATTACTAGTCAAAAACAAAAATCAATTGATCAAGCATTGGCACGGATGTTTGTTTGTTGTGGACTTTCATTTTCACTTGTAGAAAACCTTTTTTTTGTGGAGTTTGTCAATCAATTAAAACCTGGATATATATTATCTACCAGGCATAAATTAGCTAATGATTTGTAAATGAGGAAGTGGCAAATGTAAGTAAATGTGAAAACTGATCTTGAAATTAGGAGACAAAATCATATGACTTTAGGTAAATTTATTATCTATTTACTTTATTTATTTATCCATAAAGGTTAATCATTTTTCTTCTTGATTTAACATTGGACAGATGGACCAATCCAGCTGGTAGATCCATTTATAATTATATGGCATTAACCTCCAACAATAAAGAATATTTATTAAAACTTATGGATTATACTAAATATTCACATACTGGAGAATTTTTGGCAGATGAAATTGAGCACACATTATCTATGAATAACATAGAAAAATTTACTGGTGTTGTCACTGATGGTGCTGGAAATGTCAAAATAGCAAGACAAATAATCAATCAAAAATATCCAAATATATTAAATTTAAGATGCATCATTCATTCTATAAACCTAATGACTAAAGATATTGTTGATAAACCAAAAAACTTTAAATGGGGATATGATGTTCTTCATAACTGTTCAAAAATTATTTCATTTTTTAAGCATTCTCATCAAGCTAATTACATTTTGAATGAAGCAATAAAAAAATATGAGATCTCTGGTGGGGGTTAAAGTCATACATAAAAACATGTTGGTCCTCAGCCTGGGATTGTTTATATTCTGTTAAATGGCTGGAGAATTGTTTTATCTGAGTAAAAATCTTTGACATTACATTATACAATATTAAATAATTTGGCTTGACAATAATAATCACTCTTTTGTTGTATAGATTATTTCAGATAACCCTTCTGTCATTACTAATAGAGAAGTTAATGAGTTGTTATGAGTTAGAAACTTTTTTGCTGATGTGGAAATTTTATGTGATATTGTGAAACCCATCAAAGAAGCAGTGATCTCATTACAAGCCAACAATACAAATTTAGCTGAGTGTTTCATTAAGATGTGTCATATTGGTGTTACACTCAAAAAATTATCATTTTGTAATAATCTTGATTTAAAAAATTATTGTTATAACATTTACAATAAGAGGTTTGATGATTTTGGTGATTATGAAGGATACTTATTATCTTATTTTTTGCATCCATTGTATTCTGGTAAATAATTTAATTCATCAAGTTCAATTTAGTGTTATTTTCTTATTTTCTTATTAACAAAAAAAAATAGGAAAATAAGGAATTCAAAAATATCACTAGTATTGCAGGAAAATTTGCAAAAAACTTTGGTTATGGCTTTGATTCAATTAATGAACTGCTTTTTCAAATATGTAAATATAAGATTAATGAAATCCCATATGAAAATATGCAGTATACACCATATGATACATCAATTAGTTGGTGTCCACTTGCGAAGATGATTTTGATCACTTACAGAAGCTAGCAATTAGGCTTTTTTCAGTCACACCTCATACAGCTAGCTCAGAAAGACTCTTTTCTGTTTTATGATGGTTTTATGGTCAGTGAAGAAGTAGGTTGGCAACCAAAATAGTTGAAAATTTGGCTAAAATTCACACATATTATGTCACCAATGCAAAAAAAGAATTCAATTATTATGGAAAAGATTTATCAGGAAAAGAAGTCACATCTAAATGCATTTTATCAACAATGAACTTGGGTGAAGGTTTTGAAGATGAAAATGATTTTTTAACTGATTATGATGAATATGAAAATACCAATTCGGATGATGATGATTTAAACATTGAATTGGATGACAATGTTACTACTTTAAAAATTGAAGAAATAATTGATCTTAGTGATTCTATTTTTAATATAGACCAAAACAATGATAATATAAATGAAAACCAGGAAGTAAGCAGAAATGAATCAACAGAATATAATGTTGAAGAATTAGTTAGCCAATTTTTAACTGACTATGGTAATATGTAAAAAAAATAACTTCCATGTATTTGGGCTTTTTAAAATGAACATAAAGTGCTTTTATTTCAATTTTTTGAATTTTGATTTTTAATTTTGAATTTAGATTTCAATTTTGAATTTCAATTTCAATTTTGAGATTTGATTTTATTTCACCAAGGGTATTTTGATTTTGAAAACTTGTGTGATTTTTTCAAAAGTTTTGAATTTTATCAAATGACTTTCACTATCATGTATGATAAAGTAATAATATTTATTATTAATATTTGTCAGTATATCCATATCCATTCACCATATTATATGGTGCTCAGATAATTAATTGCATATATATATAACTATTAATAAAAACAAGTATTAATAGATAGATATAATAAGAACATTACATCTACCTGCAGTCTTTCTTAAATTTGTATATAAATGATGGCTTTTATTCATAATGGGGTAATAAATTTATTTATCTGTAATTAAATTGTATATATAAATAGTTTAATAATAATACCATAAAGAAATACCTCTTTAGTATTAGCAAACACTGCAGGTATTGATGTATTAAAGATTGCACATGTTTAAACAACAATCTATGCTTGGTTTTATGTCTAATGGTAAGGTCTCATCTGTGATTGTATTGGAAAAAAATTTTTTTTTTTAATAAAGCAAAGTTACTATTTAAAATCTCTTAATTTAAATGAAAACACCCTTATATTAAACCTATACATGCAGCCCAAATTGGTTTGGTGATTTTGATGGTCAAAATTATTCCAATTTTGATGGTAGAAAGTAGAAATTAATTATGGCATTCACTATTAAAAACATAAGTGTAACACCCCTTTACTACATGTGTAACCCCCATTATGACAGTGTCAAAATACTTTGGGCTGCATGTATACTCACACCCTTATTATATAAAAAGCATTGAAAATCCCAAATTGCCAAAATAGTTTGAGCTTTGAGAAACAGTTTGGGCTAGAAACCTTACTTGATTGTCAGTAAAGTGTCCTGTTGGTAAAGTGGGTGTCAGTAAAGTGTCCAGGTCCCAATTGGTCAAGTTTTACCAAAAAGTTAAACCAATATATTAATATTAAAAAAAAAGATTTTGCATAAAATGAGTTATGTGTGTGGTCACGTGACTTTTATATTCTAAATTCAATATAAAAAAGATCAATGATTGATTTTGTCATAAGTGTTAAAATGAATGACCACTATGCTATAAAATAGTTGACCAATAGGTTTTATTGCTCATGCATAACTCAAGCTTCAAAACTTATTTGCCAGTTTTTTTTTAAACTAAAATTGGCAGAGCCTTAGCAATTTGAAGTTCCAAATATTGAATTATTTATACTATTTATTTCCTTCATCAGGAAATTTTTCTGATGTGGATTTACATAATTATTACACTATTTATGTAAGTTTACAGCAGGCCCTGTAATATTATGCAATTATTATATTGAGTGTAAATATTACATAATTTTTTATGCAAATATTACAACTTTACATATTAAAATTTATGGACATAATATTATGGTGGGGAAAATTTCCTGATGTCATTAATAATAAACATCAAAAGCAAATTATTACCAAATTTGGTCATGTAATTCAAAATATTGTAACACGCAAATTACTCAAATTTAGGTTACACAATACATAGGCAACCCCGTTAAACTGAAGGCAATTGTGCAGGGACTTTTCTTCGGATTAATGGGGTTTTTTTGTAATCCGAAGTTATTATTAGAGTCATAAATTAATTCGGATAAACGGGGTAGTAAATTTAAAAATTTAGAATTTCCTTTATCCATTTATTATTAATAATAAATCATAATTTACAAAATCATTTAACTAAAATATGTATCGATTTCTGTTAATCAAATAACATTTTTAACATAATGATTCAAAACAAGCAAACAAATAAAAATATATAAATATAAATATAACTATAATTTATCTTTGTCTTTAATGTCATGTCATCAATGCAAGCATATACCTTTTCACTATCATCAATTTCAGATTTCAATTCAAGGATTGCTCTTCGTATAGAAAAATTTTTTTCTTCTAAATTCAATTCTGATTTAGCTAACATTATTTTATGCCAAATTTCTTTATAAACCAAAAAAGAACTAAATATTACCTAATTTCAATTTTAATTTATTAATTTTTTCTTTTAATTTATTAATTTTTAAGGGTAGAGGGAAATCATGTGACATTTAATATGATCAACAGTGGCTAATTTTTTTGAGTTCAATTTTGAAAAATATGTTACATATGTAAGACGCGTAAAAATAAACATAATTATCCCAATTTTACAAGTTAGATTCCTGAAGTTCCAAGCTTTATACCAAAATCAAAAAAACCACTTATTATTATATACAAATTTTAGTTTTTCTAACTTAAAGCTCAAAAATATTTTCAAATCCCTATGTAAAATTTTCAAATCCTTAATTAACGTATAGAAAATACTAATATATATACTAATAAAAGATTTTTTACTTGAATTTCTTGCTAAAATTTATTTCATTTTTAATCTGAGAAAGTAGTTATATCTTAATAGAATATGAAGTGGCACCAGGAATTATGTGAACAAAATCCCCAATATAAGGCATTTGAAGGTCAAGGTGTTTGGTTGGTTCGAGACGATACATACGCTTTGGAAGTTATAGAAAAACATGCAGTTATTGAACAAAACACAGCTTTATTAAATTCATTTTATCACCAATTGGTAGTCAAAGGCATGTCAGATAAAGAAGGCAAGACATTTGTGCCAATAATTCCTGGATATTCTATAATAACTTACATTTCTAAGTCATTTTTTCGTTTTACTATTGAAAAAAATCAAGAAGATTTATTGAATCATGTTTGGGTGGATTATGGAAATGATAAAACATTAACACAAGTTATTTATCAGACATCAAATTCTGATTTTTTTTCTTCTTTTCATTCATATATAAAAAATAGAAGAAAGGGACATATTTCGATACCTAATATTTTAGGATTAAACAATCCAGAAAATGTGAATTATTTAAGAGCTGTTGTAATTCAAAAATATCCTGATATTTTTATAAATTTCACAGATAAAAGAATTCTTGAAGCTGAAAAAAAGACCAAATCTATACAAAGTCAAATGAAAAGAAAAGGAGAAATCATTGTAAAAGGGATTTCTGGTGTTAATGAAGACTTCTCACCACATACAACAACGAAAAAAGTAAAGTCTGGTATTATCATTAATGAAAAGGGCCTAGAATTGGATAATAAAGCTACACAAGGCTTGTTAGTAGAATATACTGAATATAAACAAAAATATTACCAGGCAAATAAAAAATATAAACGTGCAAAGGAAAATGTAACAAGAGCTCGTGAATCCACAAGTCATGTGGATGAACAATTAATAGAACAAGATGATATTAATGATGTTGTAAAACAAGCAATAAACAACAACAATCTTGGCTCTACTATTTTCATTAACACACAACAATACCTTACTCTTCTTTTTGGGCTACCCTGCATTAATTGTGAAGATAAATTTATAAATAACAAAAGACATGAAATATTCAATGTTGGTTTTTCTGTGAAAATAACAATTAGGTGTCTTACGTGTGATAGCATTGCTGAATATTCTAACGAATCTCTTAATTCAGGTTTTAATTTATTAGTTACAGGTTCAAGTTTGGTAGCTGGATTGAATCGTCAACAAAATGAGACTTTCCTTGCATCAATGGGAATAACTAACCAAATATGCAAAAAAACATTTCATAACAACCAGAAAAGATTTTTCCAAACTTTGACTATGGAAGCAGAAGAGAGTGCAAAAGACACACTAATGGAATGTATAAATCACATCAAATCTCTTGATCAGAATATCCTTTCTGTTAGTTTTGATACTTCATGGTCACATGTAAGGAATGCAAATCAAGCTAGTGGAGAATTTATAT